TGGGTCTGTACTGTACAATACAGTCCCCTCTACTAACTGCCCTTGTTACCCGACCACCGCTAACCTTCTCCTTTATGAACTGGCGCAGTGGGGGAGGGGCTAACCCATGTTACATCTTAGAAACAAGGCAGGTGTTATCAAGAGTTTTTATTGTTTTCACAGGGACTGTTTTCAGACTTGTAGTGTTTGAGAGTAGCTTGTGAAACACGATGTTATATAAGCAAAGATCATGCATAGAGAGTTTGGCTGCCTCTGTTGTTAAATATGGTCTGTGTTGAAAATTGGCCAGATTTAATGGTGGTGTAGATATTTTTTTAAATGTAGGATGGAGGTCTTTAAAATCAGACACCACTGTGGTCTTTTCTCTGTTAACAAGAACATCGGGTTGGAGGGATTCAGAAGCCCTCAGCAAAAAATATAAAGTTTTGTGTACATTCAAGTGTAAGCGTGAATTATTTAACTAATTAGAAACCTAATTTTAATAGTTTGTTTTTCCGCATGCACACATTGAACGGTGTCGTCAGCATACAGTTGTATGTTGACAAATGGACAGGGTGTTAATATACAAGCTAAACAGAACTGGCCCAGCGTTGCCCCCTGGGGAACGGCGATATTACAGTTTTGTAGACTGAGTATTGTAGGCCGATACGTACACGTTGCTTCCTGTTTGAGCTCCTTGTGGTTCACTGTGTCACTTCCAAAAACTGCTTCACCACCTTCATCTAATGTGATGTCATGTACTTGTCATCAGGCGGCGTACCCCGGTGTGGAGCAGCCGCCCCCCCACCACCCCCCTACTACCATCACAGCCACCCCCCACCCCCACCTCACCAGGCCTACCATCACCACCACCACCCCCCCTGCAGCCACATGAGGCTCCGCCCCCTCGCTTCAGAGACAAGCAGCGAGCGCCGCAACACCGCGCCTTCACCTCCAGCCCGGTGAGTCTGCTGTGATTCTACTGACTCTACTGACAGTGGGGTAGTATTGTACCGTTTCTACTGTGTGGCCATGTCAATAATCTGATTGATAAATTATGTGTTTATTTATCTGACCCCTCTCCGTTTTTTTGTTTTTTTTGTGTTTTTTTTTCTCCCCATCCTGCAGCACGACTACGACATGCGTGTGGACGACTTCCTGCGGCGGACGCAGGCGGTGGTGAGCAGCCGGCGTGAGCGTGAGCGGCAGCGTGAACGTGACCGTGGCGGCCCCCGCCGCGAGAGAGAGAGAGAGAGAGTGAGGGACAGAGACAGGGAGAGAGAGAGGGACAAAGAGAGGGGGCGCTACCGCAGGTGATCGTGTCATATCCTGTCCAGGCTTTTATTTTGGCTGTTTCCTGTTTTTTGTTGAAAATTATGAATAAAAAATGAAACGAGCTACGTGATGACATCATCATCAGCTGCATCATCAGTTATGTGAATAAAATATTTAAAAAACTGTAAAAATACAAAATCTGGTGAGGTTTGATCAAAACATGAAAGGGAAGTGACATCACTGCACAGGCTTCATTTACAGTGTAATGTCTCCTGAACCTTCACACTTCATTTCCCAGAATCCTCTCTGTGGAGCTTCAGTTTGAGTCAGGACAGGAAGCTGTGTTTCAGTATTTTAGTGCAGAGCGCTCGCACAGCAACACTTTTAGTTTTTTCTCTAATCAGTGCTTTTATTGTGAAAGTTTCTCCTGTAAATCCTTCAAATTAAATGTCTAAAAACTTCCTGACTTCAACATTTTGTAGTTTTTTTTTTGTAGTTTTCTGTTGAGTGGAACCTCTGCTTCAGTAACTTATTTCATTATATATCGTCACACGAACATTCAAGTTGTTTGTACTCGTGATCGCCGCCTACTGGTGACGACACGTAAGTTTTGTTTCAGATCTTTTTCTTTTTTTTTTTTTTTGCATCTTTCTGATTGGTTGTTACCATGGTGACCAAACGTCTAGGAGATCAGTTTCATTGTGTATTGATCAGCAGCAGGTTAAACTGATCTGTGTTCAGTCTCAGTGTTAAAACAACAAAACTTTATTCGTTTCCTGTTTCTGAACAGAGGGGGTGGAGCTTCTCTGTTTTTGTACAAATAAAAAATAAAATCTGAAATCAGACTTGGTTTGTTTGTTCAGATTCTTACAGTCAGCTGATTTTTAATGTGACAGATTTCAGTTTCACAATATATTTCATGAGAATAACCCTTAATCAGATGAAGTCTCACACACACACGGCTGGACCTGTTTGTTTCAGGCTGAGTACGAACTGTTTTCAGACACCAGGCCAGGAGATAATCTGTGAATTAGACTCGTTAAACGGAGCACAATACATACAAAGACGGGATTAAAGTGAGCGCGGGCTCTTTCAGGCAGACGTGATAAGAGATTGTATTGATCAAATACAGAGTGAACAGAAGCTTAATCTGGATCAGATCTGGGGTGTGACCCCCTTTGCCTTCAGGTCTTCTCGGTACCAAGTTTCTGAAGGAACTCAGCAGGTTTAGAATTTTAAAACAATTGTCGTCTCTTCAGTCGTTCTTCTCTCTCCGCCGTCGTTGGCTGCAGCGTCGCAGGAAGAAGCGGACGCCCCCCCAGCAGAGGGCGGCAGCGGTCGCTATGGCGGCCAGCAGGGCGGCGCCGGTGTCCACGCTGTGGTACTGGAACCAGTTCAGCTCATGTGACGCCAGCCGTAGGTGTCTCGCTCCTCCGTGTCTCATCACAAACTCCACCCAGAAGGCGGCGGTGCTCAGCGGCGCCACTGGCTGGTCGCGGTGCAACGCCGACAGATGCTGCATGCTGGACTTGTAGCTGAGCGTCATGGGGAAAAAATAGATCGTTAATTCCTGTTGATTGTGAAGGAGCCGAGTGACAGACAGGAAATTAAAATAATTCAACAAGACTGAGACATGATTCGGCAGGAAGTCGGCGCTTTTATTGTGGAAGGAAAGATAAAGTAAAAAGTAACACTTGAAACCGACGACACAGAAAACAGGAAATATTAAAATACCAAAGTAACACTTCCTGTGACCTCACCTCGGCTGGTTGATGGCGGCGTGCAGCGCCTCCGTCAGCTCGTCGGATGTCAGATGGTTGAAGTCGAGGACGATGGCGGCGCCGCGGCGGCTCAGACGGGCGAGATTATCGGGCTGATCGGCAAAGAGCGGAATTCCGACCAGCGGCACGGCGTGATACACGGCCTCGTACAGACCGTTGGTGCCGCCGTGCGTCACAAACACTCGGGTCTTTGGGTGACCTAAGGAGGAAACACAGGGCTTTTATTGTGAAAATATTCCACAGATCTGTTCAGATAAACATGCTGATCTCAGGAAAAACACAGGCCTCTGTCGGCTTTTATTTTGAAATACTGTGTGTACCCAGCAGGTCGTTCTGAGGGATCCAATCAGAAAGCTTGGTGTTGGCTGCCAGAGTTCTGGGCGTGTCTCCGCTGTACCTCCAGATCACCTGCAAACGACCCAGATCAATATCCTGTCAACAGTGAAATGATTCTCCTGCCAGATCAAAGTGTTCAGGAGAAACTTTGCTTTGTCGTTCCGTTATCGTCTCGATCGCTCGACCAGGCCGATACGAAACCAGTGTAATCCATAATTCAGTCCAACATCCGCGTTCTGTCAGCAGCGGCTATTTCTCCCAGGTCGAGCTGATTTACACGTTTCACAGTTTGACGATGCAGCTCTAAGAAGTGGGAGGAGTTAGTTTAGTTTATCAAAATAAAACCAGCTGCCAGGATAGATGGAGACCCTGAAACCTTTCACAGCCCGGAGATTATAAAGAAAAGATGAATAATTAATTAAACTAGTAATTAAATTAAACATCTGTCCTGAACCTCCTCCAAAGTTCAGGTGTTTTACTAAAGTACACGACTGCATTTATGATTTCAGTTAAATTTTTCACCGTGGGATCAAACTGGTGTCAGTGACATCACTAATGGGCCGGCAGCTCTCTGATAGGCTGCCTGCAGACACGTCCTGTTTGTCTGCCGATCATCAGCACAGCGTTTTATTTCGCGACAGGATTATATTTAATGACCGTTTTAATGACTTCATCTCCTGCTGGCGAGTTTAACCTGCGGCAAGACATCATTATGACATCATAGCAGTACTGATAATCTGAGTGACTCATCACAGACGCAGCAGGTTCTCCCTGACGTCCCTGAATGTGTCTGTGAATGGGTGGAGCTTCTGACCTTTTGTGGGATTCGTCCGAAGGCAGCGGCGATGACATCAGCACGCTCTGTTGTCAGGTTAGTTACCATAGAGCCGAAGGAGACCACCACCACACCGGCATCGCCCGAGCTCTGCACGAACGCCTCCAGGTCCTGCAGGACATGACATCATATTTACATCATCACTAGCGTCATCATCAACTTATTGTATCATTTCAAAATAAAACTTCCAGTCAGCAGCAGAAAGTGGAGCTCATGCCTCTGGAAGCTGATTGGCTGGTTTGCAGTGCAGACCGCCCACGTGTTTGAAGTTGGGCGGGAACGGTCGTGGCGTCTCCAGATCCCAGAAGGTCCTGATGAGCCAGACATCAGCATTTCCCAGAGTCCTGCAGAAGCTGCTGGGACTTCCTGTCCACACAGGAAACAGCACAATGCTTTTATTCTGAAGGGATTTTTAGTTTCACTAAACTTTCCTTTGTTTATTTTTCAGATCTTTTTATGTTATGTTAATTTCACTTTTTGACTTTCAGACTTTAGATTTTGTCCCTTCTGGGGCTCCATAGAGACACCTGACTGAGGAGACCAAAAGATGTGTTTATTGATGGCTGTGACCTCCTCCGTCCCCCGCCCCTCTGACCTTTGACCTCGCTGTAGTAGCTATCCAGCGAAAGACTCCAGAACACCTCGGTCACCACCGACAGCCAGGCGTACGTCACCGCGCTGGTCAGCCTCTCCACAAACGTCATGTGGTCGCCGTACGGCAGCGGAGCCGCCGGCACGTAGGACGGTGGTGCGGGGGCGTGGCCACAGTGTCGCTCCATGACGCCGCCGAAAGAGAAGCGAAGCGAGACGACGAACGGCAGGCCGAGCACGTCGGCCACCAGGTCGGCGCACATCACCATGGGGTCGAGCAGGACGGCGTCGAAGGCCGCGCCCCGCAGCGTCGCCATCAGCTGCTGGTTCTTCAACATGGAGTCACACTGCCGCATCCCGTAGTCCACCGAGCGCCGCATCCAATCACCCATCTTCAGAAACTTCTGCAGCGGCGAAGAAACGTGAGACTCGTACATGGAGAAGTTAATGAAGTCCTGAGTGAGACCGTCAACGTCGGCCCTGCTGAACGGGACCTGAAGAGACCAGAGACACGTTAATCCAAGTCCATCTGAACGGGACCTGAAGAGACCAAAGACATGTTAGTCCAGAACGTTCTGAAGAAAGGGACCTGAAGAGACCGGAGACACATTAATCCAGAACCATCTGAACGGGACCTGAAGAGACCAAAGACATGTTAGTCCAGAACGTTCTGAAGAAAGGGACCTGAAGAGACCGGAGACACATTAATCCAGAACCATCTGAACGGGACCTGAAGAGACCAAAGACATGTTAGTCCAGAACGTTCTGAAGAAAGGGACCTGAAGAGACCGGAGACACATTAATCCAGAACCGTCTGATCGGGACCGGAAGAAGAGACCAAAGACATAACTCAGTTAGTACAGAACCGTCCAACTCGCAGACCGTCACGTTACAGCACCTTGAAAACCAGGAAGTTGAACTTGGTGGCATCGCGGCTGCTATTGTAGTTGACGGATGGCGACGCATCGGCGACTAAAACAGTGACCGAGTGGTTCCTCCTCACCAGCTCCTCCATGATGCTCCGCATGTTCAACCAATGGCTGTACTCGCCTGGAAATACCAAAACATGGCCGCCGTGAGCCGGAGTGTACGGAAAGAGGAAGAAGAGGGCGTGGGGAAGAAGAAGAAGAAGGCGAAACGGAGAAACGTGCATCACGAGTCCAGCAACAAAACTGACCCTGTTAGAGTTCGACAAACGTTCTGCCTCAGAGACAGAAACAAGCAGAAACTCTGCCAACATAAAATCTGCAGATCCAAAGTCCAGACTGGTCAGAGGTCAGTTGAGGAGCTGCACTCTGATTGGACCTCGCAGCGGACTCCCCCTGCTAGACCAATCACTTTACTGACACGGATCCCAGTGTCTCACAGGCTCCAATCATACCTTCACAGGTAGGCTCATGTTCCCCCCCGGTCCTGGTCCAGATTGTGCCGTTATGTGTGTTATTTCCATTTTGTTCAATGTGTGTGCTTTCACTTTGAAACTCTCCCTCCGGAAGCTATTAAACCGCTTTTATCGCTCAGGCTCTTTTATTTTGATGTTCCTGCCGGAAGTTCCGTCGTTGCGGCTTCCGTTAGCTTGACGCCGGTCTGCGGTGATAACGGAGACACAGATTCCTCCTGAAACACCGGCCACATTTGGCATTTCCCAGCCGGTAAACTGCCTGAGATGAAAGATGAGAGGATTTAACGGAGACTAACGGACCCGCAGGGCTTGAAAAGGTAAAACGAACCGTTGAAATGTCCCGGATAAACAGCTGCACACAACCTAAAGCCTGCTAACGGCAGCTAGCCGCTGCTAGCTCCACCACTTTCCTTTATTTCCCCAAATCCCGTTTTATCCTCCTCTATCCCGCAACGTTCCCGCGTTCTCTTAAGTTTTCCTTCGCGTTACGTCACACAAATTCCCGCTGTGACGAAATTAACCGTCAAAATCTCCCGTTAATCAGCTGACGGTGAAAACGGTTCAGATTTACTGGAATATTTCTGGGATTGCACAGCAGGATGAGTCTCGCGAGAGGACGCGAGAGCTCCGCCGAAGTGTTTCAAACTGTCCGAAACGTGAAGACGGAGACATTATTGATGTTCTCTCGTAAATAGGTAGTAAAACAGAAACGTAGCAGGTACCTGCCTTACCAGGTAGCTTCAGGAGGAACATCCTCATGACTGTTGCCATGGGGACTCACGCCCCATCTCTAAACTGTTCCGAGCAGCTTTTGTTCGTGTTCGGTTAACTCGAGGTTACCCTGGATACGTGAACTACACACCATCTGTTACTGCGTTACAGAGGAGGAGCGTTAACGTTAATACGCCCCGTCTGTACTCGCCGTTACCCAGGAGGAGCGTTAACGTTAATACGCCCCGTCTGTACTCGCCGTTACCCAGGAGGAGCGTTAACGTTAATACGCCCCGTCTGTACTCGCCGTTACCCAGGAGGAGCGTTAACGTTAATACGCCCCGTCTGTACTCGCCGTTACCCAGGAGGAGCGTTAATACGTCCCGTCTGTACTCGCCGTTACCCAGGAGCAGCGTAATACGTCCCGTCTGTACTCGCCGTTACCCAGGAGGAGCGTTAACGTTAATACGCCCCGTCTGTACTCGCCGTTACCCAGAGGAGCGTTAATACGTCCCGTCTGTACTCGCCGTTACCCAGGAGGAGCGTTAACGTTAATACGCCCCGTCTGTACTCGCCGTTACCCAGGAGGAGCGTTAACGTTAATACGCCCCGTCTGTACTCGCCATTACCCAGGAGGAGCGTTAACGTTAATACGCCCCGTCTGTACTCGCCGTTGCCCAGGAGGAGCGTTAACGTTAATACGCCCCGTCTGTACTCGCCGTTGCCCAGGAGAGCGTTAACGTTAATACGCCCCGTCTGTACTCGCCGTTACCCAGGAGGAGCGTTAATACGTCCCGTCTGTACTCGCCGTTACCCAGGAGGAGCGTTAATACGTCCCGTCTGTACTCGCCGTTACCCAGGAGGAGCGTTAACGTTAATACGCCCCGTCTGTACTCGCCGTTACCCAGGAGGAGCGTTAATACGTCCCGTCTGTACTCGCCGTTACCCAGGAGGAGCGTTAACGTTAATACGCCCGTCTGTACTCGCCATTACCCAGAGGAGCGTTAACGTTAATACGCCCCGTCTGTACTCGCCGTTGCCCAGGAGGAGCGTTAACGTTAATACGCCCTGTCCAAAGGGTCCAACGACGTGTCGGCCGCCACGCTGTTAGATTTGGCGTTAACGCTCATGTCCTGTCGACGTGCATTCCTCAGGAGAAAACACGGAGCGCGCTCGGCCCCTCCTATGTGAACGCGCCGCGCTCGGCCCCTCCTATGTGAACGCGCTCGGCCCCTCCTATGTGAACGCGCCGCGCTCGGCCCCTCCTATGTGAACGCGCCGCGCTCGCCCCTCCTATGTGAACGCGCCGCGCTCGGCCCCTCCTATGTGAACGCGCTCGGCCCTCCTATGTGAGCGCGCTGGGCCCCTCCTATGTTCGGCCCTCCTATGTGAACGCGCTCGGCCCCTCCTATGTTCGGCCCCTCCTATGTTCGGCCCCTCCTATGTGAACGCGCTCGGCCCCTCCTATGTGAGCGCGCTCGGCCCCTCCTATGTTCGGCCCCTCCTATGTTCGGCCCCTCCTATGTTCGGCCCCTCCTATGTTCGGCCCCTCCTATGTGAACGCGCTCGGCCCCTCCTATGTTCGGCCCCTCCTATGTTCGGCCCCTCCTATGTGAACGCGCTCGGCCCCTCCTATGTGAGCGCGCTGGGCCCCTCCTATGTTCGGCCCCTCCTATGTGAACGTGCTCGGCCCCTCCTATGTTCGGCCCCTCCTATGTGAGCGCGCTCGGCCCCTCCTATGTGAGCGCGCTCGGCCCCTCCTATGTTCGGCCCCTCCTATGTTCGGCCCCTCCTATGTTCGGCCCCTCCTATGTGAACGCGCTGGGCCCCTCCTATGTTCGGCCCCTCCTATGTGAACGCGCTCGGCCCTCCTATGTGAACGCGCCGCGCTGGGCCCCTCCTATGTTCGGCCCCTCCTATGTTCGGCCCCTCCTATGTGAACGCGTTCGGCCCCTCCTATGTTCGGCCCCTCCTATGTTCGGCCCCTCCTATGTTGGGCCCCTCCTATGTTCGGCCCCTCCTATGTGAACGCGCCGCGCTGGGCCCCTCCTATGTTCGGCCCTCCTATGTTCGGCCCCTCCTATGTTGGGCCCCTCCTATGTTCGGCCCCTCCTATGTTCGGCCCCTCCTATGTGAACGCGCTCGGCCCCTCCTATGTTCGGCCCCTCCTATGTGAACGCGCTCGGCCCCTCCTATGTGAACGCGCCGCGCTGGGCCCCTCCTATGTTCGGCCCCTCCTATGTGAACGCGTTCGGCCCCTCCTATGTGAACGCGTTCGGCCCCTCCTATGTTCGGCCCCTCCTATGTTCGGCCCCTCCTATGTGAACGCGTTCGGCCCCTCCTATGTTCGGCCCTCCTATGTTGGGCCCCTCCTATGTTCGGCCCCTCCTATGTGAACGCGTTCGGCCCCTCCTATGTTCGGCCCCTCCTATGTGAACGCGCTCGGCCCCTCCTATGTTGGGCCCCTCCTATGTGAACGCGCTCGGCCCCTCCTATGTGAACGCGTTCGGCCCCTCCTATGTTCGGCCCCTCCTATGTTGGGCCCCTCCTATGTTCGGCCCCTCCTATGTGAACGCGTTCGGCCCCTCCTGTGTTCGGCCCCTCCTATGTGAACGTGCTCGGCCCCTCCTATGTGAACGTGTTGGGCCCCTCCTATGTTGGGCCCCTCCTATGTGAACGCGCTCGGCCCCTCCTATGTGAACGCGTTCGGCCCCTCCTATGTTTGGCCCCTCCTATGTTGGGCCCCTCCTATGTTCGGCCCCTCCTATGTTCGGCCCCTCCTATGTTCGGCCCCTCCTATGTTGGGCCCCTCCTATGTTCGGCCCCTCCTATGTGAACGTGTTGGGCCCCTCCTATTTGGGCCCCTCCTATGTGAACGCGCTCGGCCCCTCCTATGTGAACGCGCTCGGCCCCTCCTATGTTGGGCCCCTCCTATGTTCGGCCCCTCCTATGTTTGGCCCCTCCTATGTTGGGCCCCTCCTATGTTCGGCCCCTCCTATGTGAACGCGCTCGGCCCCTCCTATGTTCGGCCCCTCCTATGTTTGGCCCCTCCTATGTTTGGCCCCTCCTGTGTTCGGCCCCTCCTGTGTTGGGCCCCTCCTATGTTGGGCCCCTCCTATGTGAACGCGCACCAACTCCAGTTTAGTTCTGAGTCCGCTCACCGACATCGTAGCTGAACTGCAGCAGTTAGTCTGAGCAGGTTGAGTTTACGATGGCGACCTTAAGTGAAGACGGTGAACGTGTCCCGAGAGGAGACGACCGGATGAGCCCGTGCTGTCCCGTTAAACGGACCTGCGGCGCTTTTCCTCCTTTTAGATGGAAGATGCTCTTTAATGCTGCGTCACTTGAACTTGAAATGTAACTGTATGAAAGTTTTACAGTTTTTAGTACTTAACACTGTTTCCTCTCTCTCTCAGTCTTCGCCATGCTCACTCAACCGCTGAACCTGAGTGACAGTGAGAGGGGGCGGGGCCTGCCCGCCGTGACCCCACCCCCTGGCCTCCCACTGGCTGGTGAGGAGGAGACGCAGACAGGTGAGGGCTTATTGTCTGATAGGTTTGGGCGAGAGAGCACATGTTTACATGCAGAGTTAGAGAGAGAGACTGACTGTCTGTTTCTCCTCCTTCAGGAGTCTCCTCTCCTCCTCCTCCCTGGGCCTCCTCTTCACCCTCCCCTCCTCCTCCTCCCTCTTCCTCCTCTTCACCCTCCTCTCCTCCTCCCCCTCCTCCCTGTGCCTCCTCCTCACCCTCCTCTCCTCCTCCTCCTCCTCCCTGTGCCTCCTCTTCACCCTCTCCTCCTCCTCCTCCTTGTGCCTCCTCTCCTCCTCCTCCCCCTTCCCCTCCCTGTGCCTCCTCCTCACCCTCCTCTCCTCCTCCTCCTCCTCCTCCCCTGTGCCTCCTCCTCACCCTCCTCTCCTCCTCCTCCCCCTCCCTGTGCCTCCTCTTCCTCCTGTGCTCTGTCTCTAGCTCCTCCTCCCTCCTCTTGCTCCTCCTCTTCTGTCACTCCTCCTCCACCTCCTGCGGCCCTCCTCAATCCTCTTCCACCTCCTCCATCTTCTGTCTCTTTTCCTCCTCCTGTCTTTCTTACTCATTGTACTTCTCCCACCTCCTCTCCCTTTTCTCCTCCTCCTTCCTCCACTCCTCCTGTCCCTCTGTCCCTCCTTCCCCCACCACCTCCTGCTCCTTCTGTTTCTCCTCCGTCCCTCCATCCTCTTCCTCCTGCCTTGTTGTGTCCTCGTTCAGTCTGCACTCCTCCTTCTGCTCCTCCTATCTCTCCTACTCCTTTCATTTCATCTTCTCTTCCTGTTTCTCCTCCTCCTGTTGCTCCTTCTCTTTCTCCTCCTCTTTGTTCTAACCTCCCTACTCTCCCTTCTTCCTCCTCCTCTACCCCTCCTCCTCTCCTTCATCACCACTCTTCACCTCTCATTTCTCCTCCTTCTGCTATATGTGGTCCTGTGCATCCCCTCTCCTCTTCACTTCCTGGTCTTCCTCCTCCTCCTCCTCCCTGCTGCCCCTGCTCCTCCCTCCTGCCTCGCCTCCTCTCAGCTCACCGGTTGGAGGTGCGACGCCTCCTGCGAGGAGCTCTGGCCTCCCTCGGCCGTCGCCTGGACTCTCTGGAGAGGAGCAGCAGGAGGAAGAAGAGGAGCAGGCAGAGAGGAGGAGGAGGAGTGTCCGGTCCTGCGGGTGAGTCTGAGTCCTCCTTCGTCTGCTCCTCCTCCTACAGTCTGACCTGCAGAGCGCTGATGATCGGTCACTGATTACTCACTTTAACCAGCATAATGACGCAAGCTGCCCGGCCCCGCGGAGGACGCGCGAGTCGGCCCGGGCGCCCCGCTGGCGCCCCGCTGGCGCCCCGCATAAGGTCCCCAAGTTGGGTGTTGATCGGCCGTTCCAAACGGAGGCGAAATGTCCTGCGTTTGAAAATGCCAGTGGAATGAGTGGGATTGACTTCGATTTTAGCGCCACCTGTAAGCGTAACTGTACCAGTTTTGTGAGGTGTGATCAGGGGCCAGTGGGGAAGAATTGACCCAAATTTGGTGTCACCGGACTTGCGGTTATGGAGATATAAATGAATGTATGAGAATGGGAGTGTTTTTTGATATATGATTACAGCGCCACATAGAGGCGGATTGATCGGCCGTTCCAAACCGAGGCGAAATGTGTCATGGTTGGAAATCCCATTCATTTCAGTGGGATTTTCCACGGCCTTTCAGCTTAGATTATAGCGCCACCTAGAATCCGAATTGAACAAAATTTTTCAGGTGTCATCAGGGGCCAGTGGGGAAGAACTGACCCAAATTTGGTGTCACCGGACTTGCGGTTATGGAGATATAAATGCGTGTAAGTCAATGTGATTTTTTTTTTACGCCTTAATCTGCAATAACAGCGCCACCTATGGGCATACTTGGGTGAAGTTTGGTTCCTGTAGTAAGGGGACCATGCAGAACAATTCGGCACTGGTTTCACGTCAGTGTGACTTGTGGTTAGAGGAACGATTTTCTTGGAAGAAATAGCGCCCCCTAGGGCGGGTTGCACCAAATTTTGCACAGGCCCTCAGGAGGGCGTCCCACATTAACGGCCCAAATTTGGTGTCGATCGGCCATTCCAAAGCGAAGATATGACATCATTTCCTGTTAGTAGCGTTTTTTGCAAACGTTTGCCAGCATATAATTGCGACATTTTTTGTGGGATCAAATTTCCTCTACAAACTTTCATCAGCTTGGTCCAGAGATTATCCGTGCCAAGTTTGGCGGCTTCAGAGGAGTTAATGAAAATAGGTTTTTCAGTTTTCGCGATGCAGTGAACTGGACCTACCCTAGCAGTTTCCGTCTAGGCCGCAGTATGAGTTTATACACGGAAGCATAAAAATAATAATATAAACGACAACGAAAACAAGGGTTCCCAGTCGCTTCGCTGGTACTGGGAACCGCGATGCCTTGCTTTCGCGGGTTACGCCGGGTAGACGGATCTGATGGAGGGCGTGCTCGTCCTGGCGTGCTCGTCCTGACGTGCTCGTCCTGACGTGCTCGTCCTGACGTGCTCGTCCTGACGTGCTCGTCCTGACGTACGCTTGCTCACACTGAAATAAACTCTTTCTCTTTGTTGTCTTCAGGTGCGACTGCCTCCTCCTGCAGCCCCGCCCACCTCCCACATGTTCCCACCTCCTCTTCATCTTCAGACAGCGAGGACTCACCCACGCCTCCTCTCTCCTCTAGTTTGAGCCAATCAGAGCAGAGTTGGAGGAGCAGAGGGGAGGAGGAGGGGGAGTGGAGGGGGAGGAAAAGGAGGAGGAAGAACCACAGAGGAAGAGAGACACGTGTTCTTCCAGGACACACAGAAGAAGAAGATGAAGAAGAGGAGGATGCTGGGAGATTTGTGGGGCGGATGGCGGTCTCCTGCGGGGGAGGAGGAGGAACAGAGGAGGAGGCGCCACTCACTCTACGCAACTTTAACCACAGGAAACACAAAAGAAGAGAGGGGGGCGGAGCCAGCCAATTAGAGAAGGCCGTTAGTGTCATCAGGCAGAAGAACGGTTACAGAGCGCCGCTGCTGGCGCACAGGTGAGTTATAATCATACAGGTAGATCAGTACGTGAATCCGGGTACAGCTATCTGACTGGACTATAGGTGATGTCATTACAGGTGAGGAACAAATGTTATATAGCCTTCGGTTTAAGGCGGTGACGGCGCCCGAGCGTGACCCGTTTCCTCTGTAACACTGTATCACATCATACATTTCTGTGTTTCTCTTTCCAGCGTCTCTGCCTCCTCTTCCCAGCATGCATTGCACCTCCTAGAGCCAGCCCACAGTGGTCAGACCTGCGGCCAGTCAGAAGCACTGAGAGTCTCTTCAGGCCAATGGTGTTTCTCTGACTTCATCCCGCCCCTCTCCTCCAATCACAGTGCTGTCCACCTATGGCTCTACCCCTCCTCCTTTAGCCCCGCCCCCATGCTGAGGCTATCAGCTGTTGCCATGGAGATGATGTGCGAGTCAGTTGTGGGCGGAGCTTGCGGTGGTCTTCTGCGGCCCCTGAAGGACTGGACGGCCCCGCCCAGTCTCAGCAGCGACCACTGGTTAGTCTCCTGGTTACACTAATGAGACATTAATATTCATCGTGAGTCGTTAATATTGATCAGGCCACAGTAAGGTATTTACATGTTGAGTTTGTCGTATTGTTGTAATTAAAACGTTTTGTCTTTGCAGCTACGTGCGGACGTCTTCGTCCAGTAATCTGAATAAATCACGTTCATAGTTTTAGTTTATTACTAATAAAACTTTGAAGTTTTTAATAGTTTAAATTATTTCTGGTTGCAGCCTGACGTTTCCCGCCCGGCGACAGCAGAAGCAGCGGGCCAATCACAGCACCCGGAGCATCCTCTTACCCCAGCGATGGCCCCCTCTCCTCCCCCCGTGTCCAGCCAATGGGCTGTCTGCTCCGCTCCCCGCTGGCCAATCAGCAGCGGGTTCTGAGTTCCTCAGCACAAACGGAGAGGTGAGGCCTTTCTTCCTGTCTGTTCGGATAGGCTCCGCCCTCTGTCAAGCTGTCCTGCAGCCTGATGCCGGGAATCCTCTGACCCCGGCTACGGCACGTCCCGGCTGCTCCTCGACTGTGTTGCGTCCTCAGCCCGGCGTCCAGGCCCACCGGAAGCGTGTCAGAAGCGTTTGAGCAGCGGAGCGTGCAGCCTGCACCACGTTATCGACTTGTTATTCATTTGTCCTTTTGGAGCTCCTGCTACCTCCTTCACGACTCTCTGGGACCCGTTTCCTTCCCACAGGGAGCCTTTCAGAATCAGAGCGCGCTGCCTGGTCTTGCTGACGTGATTAGATTTTGTTGATTTGGTAATCAGTGTTTACTTTCTGTGCTGCTGCTGTGATTCCGTAGGCTACGCAGTAAAATGATTTCTTTGTAGACATAATATAGAGATAGACGCCCCATCAGCCGCTACTGCCTAGTGGCGCGGGCGAGCCGTGGGGCCGCCATCTTGAAACGGTCACCCGCTCCACTCATTGTAATCTGTTGGGCAGGTGCAATGAGCTGTCAGCGTATTTAATTAATCGTACCTCACTGAACACCGAACGGATTTCACGCGGGTTTTTTGCTGCAAAGGTCTTACATGTAGCTATGACACAGGATACGTGGTTCGCCGTATTTTAATACTCATAGTGGGCTCAAGAGTATTCTGATATGTAAAGTGACCAGACTCCGAGATCAAAACTGGGAACATAATCCACGAAAAGGGGAAACGGGGACATTTCAAGTTTGACTATCAAATTTTTTCTATTTTCAATAATTCCTATTACTTCTGTTCAGAGTTTTTTCTGTATGTAGCCAGAGACAGGCAGCCAAAAACGGGGACATAAATACGATAGAGAAGCAGAAACAGATAGAGTAAAGTCAGACATTTGAATAATTTGAACCAATACAACAACATATGATCAAATTATGAGTGAACTCGAAGCTTTTTATATTTGTCCCTCTCTGTCACGAGCTAACACCCCTGAAAGAGGGCTGTTCTGCAGAGCTATTTTCTCGTGCTCCTTTCTGCAGTTGAGGTGAGTTTGGCGAGGTGGATGCAGCCTAATCCAGAGAAACACACACACAACCTGGATGGATGTCGAAGCCGAACTCTCCTCAGTGTGTTCGTCAAGCGTTCCACTCTCCTCCCGGACGATGTGTGTGACTGTCGGCACCTTAAGACGAGTTCACGCTACACGATTCTACAGCGTCTCACCGCCTGTGCGAGGCTACTTCTCAGGTCTGTGTGTCAGCCGCTGAATCTCTGGTGTCATCAGAGTGCACTCCACGAGAGGCGTCTCCTCCTCCGTGACGTTGCACGGTGGACGACTTCTGCACGGCGGCCTCCTGGTCTTCCCTGTGCTCGTGCGTCCTGCTGCGATGGTCCTCTGTGAGCGTGCGGTTCTTTCTCCCATCCGGACGCTCGCCCTGCTCTGTGCGCAGCTGAGCAGTCGATGTTGTGACCTCCGGTCCCCGTCATCTGCATCTGTACTGCTGCGACCTGTACTGCTGCGGGGCCCCTATCCGGTCCCTGGCCTTTTACGCATGGGTCAGCCCTCCCCATGTGGCGTCATTGGTAATTGCGAGCATGCCGACACAAATACAGCGGACTGCGGGGGCCTGGGTGGTTAATTATGTGGCTCTGGGCAGGTGGTTCGGTCTGGGCCAGTGATGCGTTAACTCTTCCCCTTCACCTCTAACCAACAGCGATGGCGTTAGAGGGCGGAGCCTATACTCATAGAATCTGGAGTTACAACACGTAACTATCGTCAACTAACGTCTCAAACGTAGGAGACGTTCTGTCCGGCAGCTCGCCGCTCCCTGATGCTCGTTGCTACTATTATCTAATTCATTGCATTCCTGCTTTTCTTCTCAGCGAGGTAAACGAGTCTCTCAGATACGAATCCGCCGCGCATCGCCACGGGAAACGCCGCTCACACCGATGGGACTGCCAAAGGTCAAAAGGTCAGGAAAGGGGGGACGGAGGAGATCAAACTAGTGAAAATGATCAAAGATGAAAAGAATCACACTTGTTTGTTTGTTTGTTTGTTTTCAGGTTAAAGAAGAAAGAGTTCAGTCTGGAGGAGATTTACACTAACAAGAACTACAAATCCCCCACCACCAACAGGTAAAAACTACAAATCCCACCACCAACGGGTAAAAACTACAATCCCCCACCACCAACGGGTAAAAACTACAAATCCCCCACCACCAACAGGTAAAAACTACAAATCCCACCACCAACGGGTAAAAACTACAAATCCCCCACCACCAACAGGTAAAAACTACAAATCCCACCACCAACGGGTAAAAACTACAAATCCCACCACCAACGGTAAAAACTACAAATCCCCCCACACCACCAACGGTAAAAGTAAACCCCCCCCACACACACACACACACACACCACTTACGGTAAAACTACAAATCCCCCCACACACACCAACGGGTAAAACTACAAATCCCCCCACACCACCAACAGTAAAACTACAAATCCCCCACCACCAACAGTAAAACTACAAATCCCCCACCACCAACGGTAAAAACACAATCCCCCCACACCACCAACAGGTAAAA